ACGCCTGTAATCCCAGCACTTTGGGAAGCTGAGGTGGGCAGATCATCAGGTCAGGAGTTCGAGACCAGCCTGGCCAACATGGTGAAACCTCGTCTCTACTAAAAATACAAAAATTAGCTTGGCATAGTAGCGGGTGCCTGTAATCCCAGCTACTTGGGAGGCTGAGGCAGGAGAATCACTTGAAAATGGAAGGCGAAGGTTGCAGGAGCCGGAATCACGCCACTGCACTCCAGCCTGGAAGAAAGAGTGAAACTTCATCTCAAAAAAAAAAAGAAAAAGAAAGACTCTGCCTTGAGTTCTTTCAAATACCCAGAAGTGGGATTTCTGATCTGATAGTAATTCTATTTTTAATCATGTGAGGAATTGCCATACTGTTTTCTATAGCAGCTGCACCATTTTACATGTCCCCAACAGGGCACAAGTGTCCCAATTTCCCCACATCCTCAGTAACACTGGCTCTTTGTCTTTTTGAGAGCAGCTATCCTAATGGCTGTGAGGTGCTATCTCCTTGTGGTTTTGATCTACATTTCCCTGGTGATTCGTGATGTGGGGCATCTTTTCATATGCTTGCTGGCCACTTGTGTGTCTTCTTTGGAGAAACGTCTATTCAGGCTCTTTGTTCATTTTTAAATCAGGTTGTTTACTTTTTTGCTATTGAGTTGTAGGAGTGCCTTATATATTCTGGGTATTAACCTCTTATCAGGTATAAGATTTGCTAATATTCTCTCCCATTCTGCAGGTGGCCTTTTCACTCTGTGGGTTGTGTTCCTGCATGCACAGTTTACATTTTGATGTAATCCTATTTTTCTATTTCTGCTTTTGTGTTACCTGTGCTGTTGGTGTCATAAGAAATCATTACCAAACCCAGTCCTCTATGCTGTCAATAATTCTGCCTGTGGGTGGGTGGGAGGAAAGGGCCGGACACTATTGCAACAGTTGGGGGAATGAAGAAGTGTTTAGCCAGGAGCATGGAAGCACCCAGGTGGTGGGAGGGCAGTGATCATGGTGTTCCAGTTACCGAGGGGCTTTCATGGGGCAGAGTGATGACCCAGAAGGCAGAAATGGGATCAGTGGGAGGCCCAGAGAGGCAAATAGCAGCTTAATCTAGCAAGATTCCAGAAGTGGAAGAGGATACCTTGGAGGTAGTGAGCTCCCTGTTGCTACAGCAGTGCGAGACCACAGTTGATCACTCAGAATATCTCACAGGGGCTTCAGACAGGATAAGTTTGGGTTGATGGCTTCGGATCCCTTCTGTGATTCCATATGGAAGAAGGGAGCTCAAAGGTTCAGCCCGCAGGGTGGGGTGGGCAGGATTGCAGCTTACAGGTATCCCCTCCTCTGCGCCTGGGGAAGTCTAGTGCTTTGGATCCCAGCTGTGAGGAGATTCCTTTAAGTTGCCATCACCTGGAGCCTGAACCCAAGTCCTGGCCCAGCCCATCCATGGGTCTGAGACCTGCTGGAAGAGAAGAGAGACTAGGATGTGCCTCCATTGCCTGCCAGGTGCTGCTTGCAGGCAGAACGGAAGGAACAAACTTCACAGACTGGTGGATCCTGGTTCAGGTGTTGCCTCAGCCATTGGCTGAGTGGCTTTGAGCAATTCCTTTTAATGTCTCTGATCCTAATTTTCTTCATCTGGAAGCAAGGGGTTGTCACCTCTCTTGTGGGGTTTACAGCAGAATAACAATAACTGGGGCTTAGGGCCTGGCAGGTGCTCAGTTAACTGCACTGATCAGAATTAACCCCCCATAATTTCCTTTTACCACCCTTGGAAGCCAAGGACCTGAGCCAGCCGCACCCCCAACATATCCCATCCTGTGACTTCTTCCCATGGCCTGGCCCCTGCCAGCCTCCTGCTGGGTGGACCGCAGCCTCTCATCTCCTACTGAGGGCTGGGAGTCCAGACTCTGGATCCAGAACCCAAGAAAGCCACAGTAGCACCCAAGCCAGCTCAGGGGGCCCTCTCCGGGTCTGGTGGGTGGGGTTGAGTGGCGGCCTGACACTGACATCCTGTCTGTCTATCCTCTGCCTCTTCCTGTCCCTGTAGCTGCTGACCCTGGTGCTTCCTCACTCCTGGCTTCGCAGTCCCTCCCAGCCCTGCACCTTGTGCCCGCCCTCACTTCCTTGTGCATTGCACCCAGAGATTCCCCTGCGACCACCAGCCCAGCCCAGCCCATTGTGGAGAAAAATCAAATTTCATTAAAGGCCATTGATTTTCTTCTAAATTTGCTGCGAGTACACTTGGAGGCTCCTCAGTAATCTTGCCTGCTCCCACCTTCAGCTGCCCAACTACCCCTGCAGCTTCGCCGGGGAAACAGGGGTTTCAGGGCTGGCAGGTGGTATGGAGGGAAAGGGGCCCCCAGCCAACTTTGGCCTTTCAGTGCGGCAAGACCCTGGATATGTCACTGATTTCTGGGGAGTGAGTTTTCCCTGTCTGTCCCCATCTTTTTACAGGGCGTGGGCTGTGTGTTGAGGTGTGTATCTGTCTGTGTGTCAGTGTGTATTGTGTGTTTTGTGTGTATCTCTGTGTCTCTGGGTGTCTGTGGTGTGTCTGTGCATCTGTGTCTATTCATCTCTGCATCTGTGTGTATGCATGTGTTTGTGTGACTGCAGGGGCGTGGGGGCTGGGCTTGCAGTTGAACTCTGGATGCTCTGCTGCCCATGAGACAGCCAGCCTGAGGAGGGTGCTTGACTTGAGATAAACCCAAGATATGATTCTCCCCTGCCAGGGGCCAGCGGCTGAGCTGGAATCTGAAAAGGGCACAGGCTTCCCTGTGGCCTCCTGCCCCCTCCTGCCCACCACTGTCCCTGTAGAAATGGGATGCCCTGCTGGTTTTCTTTCGAAGTTAGATTTGGGGTTTTGGGGGCTGGTGGAAGAGATTTCAGACTGTGCGGTGGCTCATGCCTGTAATCCCAGCACTTTGGGAGGCTGAGGCAGGTGGATCACCTGAGTTCAGGAGTTTGAGACCTGTCTGGGCAACATGGTCAAACCCCGTATCTACTAAAAATGCAAAAATTAGCCAGGCATGGTGGCGGGCATCTGTAATCCCAGCTACTCAGGAGGCTGAGACAGGACAATCACATGAACCCAGGAGGCGGAGGTTGCGGCGAGCTGAGATGGAGCCACTGTACCTCAGCTTGGGCAACAGAGCAAGACTCTGTCTTTATCTTTTATTTTACTTTATTTTTATAAAGACAGGGTTTCACCATATTGGTCAGGCTGGTCTCAAACTCCTGACCTCAGGTGATCCACCCATCTTGGCCTCTCAAAGTGCTGGGATTACAGGCGTGAGCCACTGCACCCGGCCGACTCTATCTTAAAAAAAAAAAAAAAAAAAAAGGGCCCCAGGTGGGGGAGGTGTAGAGTTGGATGGACATATACTGACCTGGTGAGCCTGGAGAGAGTGAGCTAAGAGAGAAGGCTGGGCAGTGGCGGTGCCAGGCACAGGGTACGGCATGAGGGCATTCGTGTCTGCCTGGGTCATGTTCCTGGGGTAATGTCAAACATCAAGTCAGCCTTGACAGGGACAAAAATAGTTACAGAAGGTGCCCTTTGGCCTTTGTTGGGTGTGGAGGCTTGTGTTCTGGTTGTAGGCCGAACCTCTTTCCTCTAGCCCATTCACTAGGCCCGGAGGTCGGCGGCGATCCTGAGCTGGCCTTCAAAGCCCTGTGACACTGCCCCACACCACAGGGTGGGCATCTGATGGGGCCTCTGCAGATACAGGGCACAGGGTATGTTCCCAGGTGTGTGTTCTCGATGAAATATCACTGCTGCCTCTCGCCCCAGCACTGCACAGGCGTGTCATGTGAGTTCATGGCTGTGCATGTGTGTTCTCCCTGCAGCCTCTGCCGGCGAGCTGGAAACAGCCCTTTGGATTCCAGGGACAGGCCAGATTTATGACACTGGGAGAAATATTTAGGCCTGAGACAGTGTGGTTGTGTTAATTATGGAAATCTAAAGATAATCTATATTTAATGCTGAATTTTGTCAAATTTGCTAAAGAATTAGGGGAGCGTGTGCAAACAGTGACACTTCAATGAAGAACAAGGTGCAATTAAACTCTGAAATTTACAGTGGAATAATTGGAGAGCATGACAAATATAGTTATCAGCAGCAACTAATTAGGGGTCTGCTCGAGGTTTCTGGGCTTGATTAATCTTGCCTGGATGCTAATAAGTTATATGGGGCAGCTGGTAACCGGTTTGTCTCCTCCTTCCTTCTACCCTCTCTCCAGAGCACTTGAGGGGTGAGGATGTGACCCATTCAGTTCATTCCTCTGTGCACCCGCCCTGAAGGGGAGGGTGGGGGCACTCCAGCTCCTATGCTGGGACCCTGCCCAGGTAACACCTTGCACCGCCCCTGCTCCAGCATCCTGAGGACTCACTGGTCGGTAAGTTCTTGGTGTCTCACTTGAGGCTTGTTGGGACTTGGGGAGAGTGGCTTGGAGCCTGTGTCGGGGTCTTGCTGAGCCTTAGTGGGCTGGATTCGTTCCCTTGCTATTGATGTAGCTGTCCGACTGCCACCTCTGCTTCCTCTTCATGCCCTGTGGGAAGGGGCACTGGAAGCCCCCCGCTTGGACCCGCAATAGATCCCATGCACCGTCTTCCTCGGCTGGGCGCTTGCCTCCCTTTCCCCTCGCAGGTTTCTGCTATCTACCTCACTGCTGACTGTGGCCAAGCCTTGGATTCATTGATTAAAGTTTAGGCTGGAGCTGATGCTATTACCCTGCTGGAGTGTGGCCAGCACCCTGGGCACCACTGCCAAGCCCAGCTGTGAAACTAGCACCGCCGCCTCCCTTCCTCTGTCTCTCACCCTGTCTCTGATTCTGTGTTCGGTCTCTCCCCTGTCCTAGAGCCTCCCTCAGACCTGCTGCCCTTGTCACCCTTCAGGGGCCCACCCGGTAAGACCAGCTGGTGGGGGACTCTACCTTCTGCCACCCACTCCTTCCTCAGAAGTCCCCTTGACTGTCAGCTTCCCCACTTGGGGTCCCCCAAGGCAGCTCTGTGCATCGAGCCCACCCTGAGCACCCCTTGCCATCTCCAGCCTTTGCTCAATGTCATTGGGCACAGGACAGAGACTCTGACAGCCTCAGAAGAGGCTGATGGATCCAAAATGGGACGTTAGATGAACCGCTTCTTTGTGAACGTCTTTGATACAACTGGGTCTCTCAAAGCATGAGCATCTGTAAGCACGCCTGTCATAGGAGGCTGGGCCCTGCTGCGGATGGTGGAGGGGACGCTGGAGAGGACTGGGGCCTCCAGTGTCTCCTTCAGAGAGGAGGTGTGTGGCTTCTTTGAGGCCTGCTTCTCTTCTTGTTTTGGGATGAGGAGCTTTGGGATCAGACACACCCAGACTTGTGTCCTGGCCCTGGGGGTCCTGGGCTCTTCCTAACCATGTCAAGTCTTATTTTCCTTCTTGTAGCAGAGGGATAATTTCTTTACAGTGAGGAGCGCAGGTAACCGGCTGGGAGCTGAGCAGGCCCTGAGTATCTGGCGCCCTCCCCTCCCCTCCCCTCCCCCTTCCAGCTCCCCACCCCTCCAGGCTTCAGGTGGACTTGCACACTGTTTTAATCAATGCTAGGGTGCTGACATGAAGGAGGCTGGGGTGGGAACCAGGGCCCAGAGTTTCACTTCACCCCAAATCTGCTAGAGTCAGGGAATCCATCCAGCTTGAGATCTGGTGTGTAAAGGTAAGAAAAGGGCTTTGTAAAGTCTCCAGCAAGGCCCGAAGTGCTGCTCTTGTTAATGAGGAACAATGTGCTGGGAAGAGTGGGCTGCAGTAGCCTCCTGGCCTCTGCTCTCTCTCCACACAATATGCCTAAAATGTAAATCCTATCATGGCCTGCCCGTGCTCAGAAACCTTCAATGACTCCCTAGTGCCTCCGGGATAAAGTATAGAGCATAATGGTCAACGCCGTCCACAGTTGCTCCAGTCTGGTTCCCACTTCTTTGGGATCCTTCCTCCCATCCTCCCCTCCCTCTCCTTCTTCTCTTTCTTCTTCTCCTTCTTCTTCTTCCTCTTCTTTCTTCCTCTGTCCAGGTTGGAGTGAAATGGTGAGATCTTGGCTCACTGCAACCTCCGCCTCCTGGGTTCAAGTGATTCTCCTGCCTCAGCCTTCCAAGTAACTGGGATTCCAGGAGCCCACTACCATGCCCAGCTAATTTTTGTATTTTTAGTAGAGATGAAGTTTTGCCATGTTGGCCAGGCTGGTCTTGGACTCCTGACCTCAAACAATCTGCCTGCCTTGGCCTGCCAGAGTGGTGGGATTAAGGCATGAGCCACCGCATCTAGCCCCTTTTGGGCTTTTTGAAGTCCCTTTGCTCTGCCCACCCAAATGATGCCCTGTTCCCCAAACTCCCACACCTGACAATCGGTAGGCTTTTATTGGATCGATTTACATCACCTGACGTGCTTTCCCTCCCACTCCCTTCCCACGACCACTTTCTGGGAGGCCTAGCTCAAGTCTCATCACCCCCTAAAGCCTCCTCTGATGCTCCCATGCCCACCCCCACTCCTCAACCTGAATGCCCTCTGGTTGCACAGCTGTTCCTTGCGTCTGTGTCAGGTGCGTCCACCAGGGTGTGATAGACACTGCGGGCACAAGCTCTGTCACCCAGCCTGAAGTTCAGTGGCATGATCTCGGCTCACTGCAACCTCTGCCTGCTGGCTTCAAGTGATTCTCCTGCTTCAGCCTCCCAAGTAGCTGAGATTACAGGCGCTCACCACCATACCTGGCTCATTTTTGTATTTTTATTTGACGGGGTTTCACCATGTTGACCAGGCTGGTCTCAAACTCCTGACTTCAAGTGATCCACCCAGCTCAGCCTCCCAAAGTGCTGGGATTACAGGCATGAGCCACTGCACCCAACAGAGTTGGCTCATTTTACAGATGGAGAAGCCTTGATGATGGCCATGTCTGTCAGAGACTGGAAAGTCATGGTGCAGATGCTCTGGACAGACTGAGGCTCAGAGCAAATTTGCTGTGGGTGACATGGCCTGCAAGGGTGGCACTTGAACCCAGGCCTTTCTGGCTGCGGGCTGCTGTGTTTCCCTCCACATCCATTTTTCTGATTATTCAAGATGCAGGTTTCATTCCTCTCTGTTGTCATCATAGCCCCTGACTCTGAGGTAACTCTCAATGGTGCCCCAGGCTTCTGCCCCCAGCCCCTAAATCCCCACGTGCTGTGCATCTATGAACAGGTCCCCGGCCCCTCCAAGCCTCAGCTTTCTGTGAAATGGTCAGGTGATGCATCGCCTCTTCCTCACAGCGTCATTGTGGGACAGAAGGAGATGGTGCCCGCAGAGACCACTGTGCTGCAGTATGGACCCCCTGCGAGCCTGGGCTGGGCATTTCCCTAGGGGCTCTCGGTCTGTCTCTTGGGGGCTGGGACGGGGAATGCAAACACTCGTTGGTCTCCTTCAGCCCCTCTTTGGGGGAGGAAAAGAGCTCTGGGGTCTCCTTCCTCAGGATCCTAGCCCTTGCAGCTGCTGGAAGGGAACGGGCTCGGTTACCATGGCAACGAGGGCCAGCCGCCTGCAGGGCCGGTCCTGTGCCAGCCGCCGTTGACCTCACTTAGGATGATTACCTTTCGGCAAATAAAATAATTGTGTTAATAAAGAGGCCGTTCGCCTCTCATTCCCCGTCCGGCTTTGCCTGTTTCCGGTCTTCTCCTTCTGGAGGAAAGAGGATTCTCCCCACCTGGTTAGCCCTGGCCTGTGGGATGCCTCACTCTTGAATTGTTGCCCAAATCCGGACTGGGATTTAATCTTGGCCAATATTAATCATGTCCCACCATTCCCATCTTACCACCTTCTGCCTCTTTGCCCCGGTATCTCTTTTGAGGTTGTACAATTGAGATACTACTACTCATCCTGTCTTCTTTGGCCTTTTCGTTATGTTTTGTTTTTGAGACCAGGTCTGTCTCCGTCACCCCAGCTGGAGTGCAGTGGTGTGATCTCGGCTCACTGCAACCTCCATTCAAGTGATTCTCCTGCCTCAGCCTCCTGAGTAGCTGGGATTATAGGTACCCCCTACCAAGCCTGGCTAATTTTTGTATTTTTAGTAGAGGCAGGGTGTCGCCATGTTGGCCAGGCTGGTCTTGAACTCCTGACCTCAAGTGATCTGCCCACCTCAGCAATACCATTTTACCGAGAGAGAAAATGTCTATGTATCTATTTTGAGTCTGGGTCCCCCTATGTTGCTCAGGCTGCTCTCGAACTCCTGGCCCCAAGCAGTCCTCTGGCCTTGGCCTCTCAAAGTGCTAGGATGACAGGCATGAGCCACTACACCTGGCCAAAATCTATGTTTTGACAGGGCTAGAAACGTGTTGATTCAGCCCCTGGTTTGCAGGACAGGCTCCCCTAATAGAGTGCCTGGGAGCATTCAGTTCAGCTGCAGGCAGATACACACTTGCCAGGGGCTCAAAACTGGGCTGGGCTTCCAGAGGGGAGAAGAAACAGGGACCCTAGGAGGCTCAGAGCCAGGGATCGGGTGGGTGGGAGTAGATGGATATAACCACAGAAAATGGAGATGCGGGATGCAGTGTGAGGTGCAGTGTGGCCGGGCTCCGAGACCAAGAGAATGATGGAGACCCCGTGCCAGGTGCTGCGGAAGCGGACCCCCAGAAAGAGACTGACTCAGCGACGGAGGCCCTGAGGGGGATGAGGAGGATGAGACTGGCAGTTACTGAGCCTCTGGTAAGCAGCTGACACTTTGCTGAGTGCTTCAAATTTGTTATTTCACACAATGGCTATCACAACCCCATTTTACAGATGGGGAAAGTAAGGCTTAGAGATTTTAAGTGAATTTCGGCCAGGTGTGGTGGCTCACGCCTATAATCCCAACACTTTGGGAGGCTGAGGTGGGTGGATCACCTGAGGTCAGGAGTTTGAGACCAGCCTGGCCAACATGGTGAAAATACAAAAAATACAAAAAATCAGTGGTGGTGGATGCCTATAATCCCAGCTACTCGGGAGGCTGAGGCAGGAGAATCGCTTGAACCTGAGAGATGGAGGTTGCAGTGAGCCGAGATTGTGCCACTGCACTCCAGCCTGGGCAACTTGAGTGAAACTTCGTCTGGAAATTTTAAGTGAATTTCTCGAGGTTATACAAGTCAAGTAGAGAGCCAGGATTCAAACCCAGATCTGCCTGGTCTTAGTGGTCTTTTGACTCCATCAGGCTGATCAAGGATGGGGAAGGAGAGGGAGGAGCAGGAAGAGGGGGAGAGAGGGGGAGGGGGAGGAGAGCACGAAACAGATTGAGCAAGGCATGGCGTGCAGGCTTCGTGCACAGGTGTGGCCTCTTCTGCGTCTGGCAATACTTAGCCCCTGTTCTTTGAGGCTCTTGTTTAAAGATTTGCCAAAAAGAGGTCACCCAAACTATGGCCGATTTAGAAAGTTTACTTTTCACCAGAGCACACAGAATAGTGCAAAGAGAGTGGGCTCTTCGAAAGGTCACCTTAAGCCTTTCAAACAGCGATTAAGTCAGGGCCCAGCAGGCGGTGTCATTCTAAGTTCTCACACTGCAAGGGGACTGTCCTCTCTGGATTCCCAGGTCTCTCCATGACTGGAGGAATTGTGTCATATGGACACTATGTCAGAAGACTAGATTTGGGGCTCTCTGTGAGTCTGAGGGTGTCTCCCCTTCTGCACCCACTACCACCCTGATAGGTCCTGCCCTGAACAGAGTGACCCTGTGGCAGCAGGCAGGGGCTGCGGTGCCCGCCAGGCACACTAGGTGGCGCTCTGACATTGGACAATCCTCTGAGCTGCCTGGTGGCAGGAGGGCAGGGCAGGGCAGGATGGCTTTGAGGTGAGGCTGGTCTCACCAGACCTGACACCCCGGCCTAGGGTAGGCCAAGGGGCACCGGAGATGTCAGAAGCCAGGCTGGGGACCAGGAACTCTGCTCTTCCACCTGTGGGTCCTGGTCATTCTTGGGTCGGGGCTGAAAGCAGAGCAGTGGGAGGAGCAGAGGGACCACAGGGCAGCTGGAGAAGAGGGGTGGTGGGCGTGGGGGGCACCAGCAGGCCCTGGTGGGGCGGCCCAGCACCCCTCAACCGGGCGAGGGCCTGGGGAAGGCTGCCTTTTCACTGGCCACTAAAGCCTAGGGTTGTAGACCTGGGTCTCCCTGGAATGGTGAGGCCATCTGCCTTGTCCTTGGGGCTAGGTCAGAGGCTTGGGGGCTTGTTTATAATGCCTGCAGCTGGAATGAAAGGAAGCCTTGGCAGAGGTGGCTGAAGGATCAGCTTTGCTCGAAGGGCAAAACCCCGGCACAGGACCCGAGGGCCTCAGGGTTTGCCCCATCTAGCCACGTGACCTTGGGCAAGTCACCGAGGCCTCTGATTCCTTCTTCATGAAAGGGGCTCATCATGTCTGCTTTCGGAGTTGGGAACCTTGAACGAGATCACACACACAAAGGCACTCAGCACACCAAGCGCGGGCACCCCTCCTGTCCTGCCGGTTTGCACAAGCGGCATCTTGTATCCTTTCCCTGCCTGCAGGCCCAGTAAACCCTCAGTGCTGTTGAATGATTGGTGCCTAGGGTGGAGGCAGCTGGAGCTGGCAGTGTTCCAAAAGGGGCTCCAAACCTTGTACTCTGGGGGATTATCCTTGAGAGGCCCCGTCCTTAGATTTCCATGTTTTCCCTGTTTGGAAGTGCGTGTCCTGGAGCTGGGCCTGACCACTTCACCTGTTCACCCTTTGTCTTGTGCCTTGTCTGGGGCTCTGCGGGATCTAGGGGGAAAGAGAGAAAGGAAATCCCCAGCACTCTCTTGGGGGAGAAGAAAGCAGAGGAGCAGACGTGCCCAGGGACCTCTTCTCCAGCAGTCCGCTTGCCTGCTTCTCACATCTGGTGCGGGGTGGGGGGAGACTGAGGCAAGGGAGAACCATAAGGACAAACTGCGAATCCCTGAATGCCTGTAGCTATAGGAGAGTAAGGTGGAGAATTGACTTCTCAGCCCCATGGCAGGGACTGACGGGGCCTGTTGCCCTCGAC